GCAGCTTGGAGCCTGGAGCCTGCTTCAGATTCTGTGTCTCCCTCTCTCTCTGCCCCTCCCCTATTCATGCTCTGTCTCTCAAAAATAAATACATGTTAAAAATTTTTTTAATAAAAAAAAAAAACCCATATCATAGCAGCATTACTCCCAGCGGGCACACTGGAGGGCAGCCCCATGTCCAGTCTCAGGAAAGCAGCAGAGCAAACTCGGCTGGTCTGGACGGTGTCTCCTCCCAACCTCCCTTCTACTGCCACACGGGCCTCCTTGCTGCTTCTGGAGCACCCTGTGCGGCCTCACCTCATGGCCTCTATCCACTCTTTCCCAGCATCAGGAGGTTGCTTTCTCATCTTCTTCAGGCCTCTGTTGAATTGTCACTTTCAGGGAAATGTTCCATGGCCATCCATATAAAACAGCCAGCTAAGCACCCATTCCCAAACCCTTACCCCACTTACCATTATAGCTTGGAATTTACGTACCCATAAGGTGGAACCCTGGATGTGTGTCCATGATGGTTTCCTTTGAAGTTTTGGCTTGGGCAGGCATGGCTACAGGCTACAGGCAACCCCAAGAATCCATCCCCAAAGCCCCTCAGCCAGATGGGGCAGTAGTGGGAAGGATGGCCCCAAATGGTAAGAAGGCCTGGCTTTGGGACTTGGAGCTGCCACATACCCACTCCATGACTTTGGACAAGTCACGTGACATCCTCAAGTCTGTTTCTTCTGTAGAGTGGAGTCAATTATGCCTGTCACCTCAAGGTTATTGTAAGGACTGTGTGAGCCAAACTATGGGAAAGTGATTCGGATATTGTAAAGCTCAGGAAAACCCTAAGGACACTGGGCCCACCAATGCCATTCTTGTCAAGGGCACAGATAAGAGGCTTCTGTGCAGACTCTCATTCCACCTGCACCCGCTTAGGGCTTGTCCCTGCTTTGAGGACAGTTGCACAATGCACATCACCCAGTGACACTCCCTGGATCTGCCAGATGGAGGCCCCAGCCAGGGAGCGGGGATCATTTGAGGATGTCTTGCTCTGTCTGAGCTCTCACTGGTTTCATGCCATTGACAGAATGGGACACAGCAATGTTCCTAAGTTGTCTTTGTAATAGAAGTTCTAGCATGTGGCCAGGAACCAACCTGGAGATCAACTTCCACAGCTTTCATGATACCCTTTGTTCTTTGGATGATCAAGAAAGCATTTTCTGGGGCGCCTACGTGGCTCAGTCAGTTAAGCATCTGACTTCCGCTCAGGTCATGATCTCACAGTTCATGGGTTCGAGCCCCATGTCGGGCTCTGTGCTGACAGCTAGCTCAGAGCCTGGAGCCTGCTTCAGATTCTGTATCTCCCTCTCTCTCTCTGCCCCTCCCTTGCTCATGCTGTCTCTCTCTCTCTCTCTCTCTCTCAGAAACAAATAAATACATAAAAAAAAAAAAAAAAGAAAGCATTTTCCTATCTTCGGTTTTCTGGCCTCTCTCTTATTTTCCAGATTTTCTCTGCTGCAGAATCCTTAAGTTTCCCAAGCTATATTACATCTGGGTCTGTAGGGTTGAGTTCCATTTAAAAAAACAAAACAAAACAAAACAAAAAACAATTAGCACAGTGAGTGGTTCTCAACATAGGCAGAGAGGTTAGAAAGCTGTTGGCGGCTGGGTCCCATTCCTGGTGTGGGGTGTGGCCTGGGAGGTTTCATGCTCCTCGGGTGACCCCAAAGTGCATTCACACTGAGATACTCTGAGTTAGATTATCTCATGCCAGCATTTTCGCTAAGCTGGGCAGCAGCTGCTTCTTTTCACTGCTCCCTTCCCAACTTGAAGGCCAGTCTCTGATGGAGATTGGATTCTATTAGCAGAGTCCCAGCCTGACCCTAATCGCTCATTACCATTGTTCCCTCCCCTCCAAGCAGCATATATCCCTCTGCCGACTCTCCTGGCTCAGAAAACAACTTTAAGGAAAGCTTCTTGTCTTTAGCACCTTTCTTGAGTCTCACCTTGTTTAAGCCTTGGCCTCCTTGGCACATTCCTCTCAGGTCCATTCAACTCTTCGGGATATACCTTTAGGTTTGTTTCTCCTTTTATATTTTGTATGTATTTTTGTGAAATCTGAGTTCTGCACACTGCCAGGAGCTGGGGCTACAGAGATGTATGAGATAGGTCCCTCCCTGATAGAGTTCATGGTGAAGTACGTGAAGTGGTCAGAAAGCCCCTGGCCGGTGCACATTCTAATAAGGCATGTGAAGAAGAGAAGTGTTGATTTGGGCCGGAAGGATGGAAACTTGAGAATTCTTCCAGGAAGAGGTGATACTTGATCTGGGAGCACAGGGCATTGTCTGGGTAAGGAGTGTGAAGAATGGTGGCAAGGACCTTCCAGACAGATGGGACAGCAGGAACAAAAGCAGAGACATAACCGGCAACTGCAAGAAGTGGGGAACAGAAGTAGGGGGAGCTGAGGCGGGGAAGGAGCCTTTATGTATACGTGGCTATTGCAATGCCATGAAAAAAAGAGTGTTTCTATTAGCTAGTTGAAATATTCCTTCCTTGTCAAAATTAAGTTCTCTATCTTCTCAGGGATGACCTCATCAGCAAAGTGAAGTATAACTTATCAGGTGCTCTGCTATTAAGCAAATGAGGGAGACTTCCAGCAGACCCCTTGCTCATCATGGGTTCCCAACCCTGCTCTATCTAGCCTATGAAATGTGCTTTGGGAAAACACCATCCACATACAAGCTGACTAGGAGCTATAAGAAGGAAACATCAAGATGTACCATAGGACAGAACTTTTCATTCTGTCGTAAAGGATAGAATGAACATGGGTGTTCAAATAATGTATACCCGGGGCACCTGAGTGGCTCAGTCAGTTAAGTGTCTGACTTTGGCTCAGGTCATGATCTCACAGTTTGTGGGTACGAGGCCCACATTGGGCTCTGTGCTGACAGCTCAGAGCTTGGAGCCTGCTTGGGATTCTGTGTCTTCCTCTCTCTCTGCCCCTCCCCCACTCATGCTCTGTTTCTCTCTGTCTCAATAATAAGTAAACATAAAAAAATTTTTTTAAATGTACACCCCAAAACTATACTGCCTGAAAAGCTGTCTCAAATGTCATCCTATATCATCATAACTTGGGACATGTCTTGTGCTTTCTTCATAACTTCCCAGGGGCTCATTCAATAAATGAGTGGGTATCAGTTTTGGGCAGAGTCCATGCAGGTTTCCTATGTGAGGGGAAAGATAAGCTTGGACCTTTTGCATCTAACCCAAATTCCAGGCAATCAGATCTTCCAACAAAACACTGTGCCAACCTTGCTTCTAACCCTTGGAGCCAGACTGTCTGGGTTTGACTCCTCAGTCCATCACTTTTACTAAGTTATTCAGACCCTCTGTGTCTTAGTTTCCTCATATATAAAATGGGAATAATGATAAAGCCTGCCTCAAAGTTATGAGGACTAACCCTAGTTAATACATGTAACGTAAGTTAGTATAGTGCTTGGAAGATAGTAAGTACTCCAATTATTTTCTGTGAGTCATACTTCATTTCAAGATTAATAATCAGGGGTGGCTGGCTGGTTCAGTTGGTAGAACATGTACCCCTTGATCTGGAGGTTGTGAGTTCAAGCCCCACATTGGATGTGGAGCCTGCTCAGAAAAAAATTGAATAATCATACTCCCGGCTGGTAACAAGATGCCAATGCCATGTAGAATATTTCATGATATATTGCAACTTGAATTTAAAAGCAAGTTACAGTATCTCCTCTTTTTTTCTCTCTGTCCTTACAAAGAGTCTTTCTTGTTTAAAATTTATTATTTATTTTTGAGAAAGAGAGGGAGAGCAGGGGAGGAGCAGAGAGGAAAATCTCAAGCAGGTTCCACGCTGTCAGCGCAGAACCCGATGTGGGGCTCAAACTCATGAAACTGTGCGATCATGACCTGAGCACAATCAAGAGTCCGATGCTTAACTGATGAGCCACCCAGGTGCCCTGGGAAAGATTATTTTCGAATGGGTTTTATTTTCTCCTTTATGGTTAGATCAATTTTATAGTTTTTTCAACACGGGCATATAAGGGGAAAATGTTATTTAAAAACAATGTTTTTAGGGGCACCTGGGTGGCTTAGTCGGTTAAGCGTCCGACTTTCGCTTAGGTCATGATCTCGCTGTTCGTGGGTTCGAGCCCGCGTCGGGCTCTGTGCTGACTGCCGGCTCAGAGCCTGGAGCCTGTTTCAGTCTGTGACCCCCTCTCTCTCTGACCCTCTCCTGCTCACGCTGTCTGCCTCTCTCTCTCCTAGAAATAAATAAAACATTTAAAAAACAATGTTTTTAAATGTCATTTAAATGATGTTGTTTAATAACAACATCCATGAAAAAGACTTTAAGGATCCCATTTACCAGTCTTTTCTAGTCTAGAATCTAAGCTTCAGGATGAGGAAGGCAGTGGCATCTCAGAGCCCAGTGCTGTTTCAGGTTGGCCCAAAGCCGAGAAAGAACTGGGTAAAGCTTAATTTCCATTCCAAGCCCTTCTTTCGGTTCCTCCTGCTTCCCTTTTCAGATGCCCATCTAGGGGACTCTTTCCTTCCTTCCTTCAACTAACATGTGTTGAGAGCCCACAGGGACCCAGCACTGTACAAGGTGCTCAAGAGAAAGAAGACTCTGTCTTCGGTGGCCTGTGGTCTCATTCCTGCCCCTGCAGACCATCAGTTGTGATGGCCTGTAGCCCAGGGAGCAGCCTTCCCTCCAATCTTAGCTCTTCCCTACTCCTGGGACCCACTCTTGGAACCCATTCCTGCTGAGCTCCTGCCTCTGTCCCACTTTGCTACTGATGACTTAGTCCCTAAGCACCAGTCCCCATGTGTGTGCACCATGCGAGTCCTGGCAGAAAACAGCAGTGCGCTCAAAAGGGCTTAAACAATACTTGAACAAAGGGACTACTCACAGCTGTGGCCAAGGTTCAGGGAACTAACAGTCATGCCCATGTCCTCAAGGACTAGGAACAGAAGGAAGCCACGGCGACCCACAGGCCTGGAAGGGAAATAGTATTATTGGAGATTATTGAAGATACTGTGATTATCTGTAATCACAGAGCAACACAGACATTGCGAGTCCCTGGCGTTGAAGCAGGAAGAGAATGAGGAACAAATGTCCTGCTCTATCATCTCTGCCAGTCCCCGTGTGGCCGAATCCCCAAGCCAGACGCCAAGGATGCCCGAGTGATACAGTCCACCTGGCAATGTGTTACTCTCTGTAGTAACAGTTTTGTGATAGATTCAAGGAAAGAATGGTGTCAATTTCTGATCTGGGCAAACTGAAGGGGGAGAGATTTTTAGTGAGACCTCCTCAGACCAGTCTTCCTAAGTCCTCCAAATCCCTGCTCCTGTGGGTACTGGGAAAATGCTCATCAAAAGGCTAAAGCGTCATAGTTTTATTTTTTTCCTTTCACATTTTATTCTGACAAAATGGGCAGTAGATCTGAAGGGTGAAGAGTACTTTGTTGATGTGAGTACCTAGACTGTCTCTAGTGCGCCTTTGCTTTTAATTTTCGTTGTACACAGAGATGGAAGCACACAAAGATGCCAACAGACAAGGCAAGCGTGGCCATCAACACATGCACACCGTTCTAAAGACATCTCTTCCCCCACACGTCACCTATGGTAATTTTCAGCAGCAGCCCCCACTCCTGGCCAAGGAGCAGGAGGCAGAAGGTGGGGCACCAGAGGAAGGGAGGACTGGACAGGAAAAATGGCAGGGCTCCCGGCTCCAGCTGGGTGAGAGAGAAGATGAGTGAGGCGACGGGGACCAGCTTTCCTCCTCTCGAAGCCCCTAGCTTCTTCCTCCCTTACATGCATAAGCAGCGCAGCTTGGTCCTGGTTCACTAGTTCAAATTTTTCCCCTGAAGTGCTTCCTTTGCTGTGAGCACATTAGTTTTCTTACTTTGGAAGGAAACTTCCTTACCAGCTCAGTAATGACAATGGATCCTTCCATTTGTGTACCATTAGAGTTTAAAGAGTACTTCCACACACTTTATCTCGTTTATTCCTCACACCCCGACGGGTCGCAGAGCTTACCTCCTATCAGTTGAGGAAACCAAGTCTCAGGAAACAAGTTGCCTAAAGGCACCAAGCAGACAGCATCAGAGTGGAGGTCAGAGCCCTGTTTTTCTGTCTCCCTGCCATATTTTTTTCTCCCCACAATGAAGAAGGGTTTCTTTAGGAAAGAAGATGGCAAAGGACTTTGGGGTGGACAGAGATGGTTATAAAGGAGGAAACCATATATACTGAGGATAAAATGAGCCAGGGCAGTGGCCCCTAAAGTATTGTTTCCAGATCAGTGACATCAGGGGCATCTGGGAACTTCTTAAAGGTGCAATTCTTGAGCCTCAGCCCAGACATAATGAATTAGAAATCTCAGAGGAAAAGGGAGTTTCAGGAACCTGGGTTGGAACAAGCCCTCCAGGAGATACTGATATATACCAAAGTTTGGGAACCACTGCATCCAGGGGGAAGGTGTGTGTGACGGCACCCTGAAGGGAACACGTGACCAGTGTTAGCATAAGGAGGAGCAGAGAAGGTAGTCAATTATCGAGATTGTGCTGATGGCTGGATGAAGACAATTCAAGGCCATTGCAGCATTGTTTGTAATAGCAGAAGACTAGAAACAATTCAAATATCTACCAATGGAGAATGATCATGTGAATTATGGTGCATCCATGTAATGGATACTATGTAGTATAAAACAGAACAAGAGGCTTAGGATAATTAGATATGGGGAAAAAATCCAAAGAATATTTAAATAAAGAAAAAGAAAAATCAGGAGAGTTTATATGTTAACTTTGGGTCTTAAAAAGGGGAGGACTAAGAACATGTATTTGTATTTACTTGTACCTACAAGAAACTCTGCAAAGGGACAAAAAATCATTCAGAGAGGTACCTGTGGATGGAGAAGGTGGTAGATGGAGGCAGAGATGGGAGGTGACTTTTCACTGCATTTCCTTTTCTAAAATTGTCCAACCCTGTAAATATATTACCTATTTAGAAAATGTAAAAATAAATAAAAATGGCCCTAGGTATAATTCAGCAGCAGAACAAGAAGCTGCCTCCGATGGAATAAGGATGGTGGACATTTCCAAGGGCAAGTCCATCCTCTTTCCACAGAATGGGCCAACAGAGGTCAAGGGTACCAAGCTCTGCCCACACGCACTTCCTCTCCCCTCTAGCTCAAACCCTCCAGGAATGGCCTAGGTGCTTTGGAGGGGATTAGACTTCTTAGACCAAGACCAGGAGTTCCCAGCATTAGCTACACATTAAAATCATCTGGGAAGCTTTTAAGAATACTAATTGCTATGCCCCATTCTCAGAGCACTCAAATCCAAAGCTCTGAGGTGGGGCCTGGCCAGTGATATTTTTAAAGCTTCTTAGTTATGATTCTAAACTACTATCTTGGGCCTTCTGGATCAGTTGATTTCTCTAGAAAGCTGGAGAGAGGGAAAGGAGATATCCACTAGCTTAAAAGAAGAAATGATACATCCCATTGAACCTGTCAAGATCAGATCCGAATGCAAAAAAATGTTTATTCTGGTTTGATTGGAAAATGTGCTCAAACTGTTTCTCTTCTCTGGCAGTCCAATTCTGAAACGAAGCCCTGATATCACCAAATCGCCACTGACAAAATCAGAGCAGCTTCTGAGGATAGACGACCAAGATTTCAGTATGAGGCCTGGCTTCGGAGGTATGCGACACGACCCACGGTGGTCGTCGTCTCTTTTCGGGTCTGTCCACCTGCGCATGGGTAGAAATCAAAGCGAGGGACCACCCAGCTTTGCTCTCCCTTGGTCAGGTCTGCCTCTGTTGTGCTTGGTGGCCAAGATGGAGCCCACAGTGTCTTCTGAGCATCACCCCTGCCCAGCCCCACCGTGGTCCCTGCTAAACACATTCTTGGAAGGTGTCTGCTGGCCGATGGCAAGGGTAAGCTAGCTGATCTGTCCTCGGGCCACTGCTTCTGACAAGGAAGCCTTGGGATCAGTGAGGCCGGCAGCTGGCTGCGGGAAGAAGGACAAGGGGACGATGGGGCTGCTACAGCCCAAAGCCATCTCCTGAAAATGCTCTGAGACCGCAACCTTGTACTAAATTCATTCTCATCTGGGAGCTGGCAGACAGAACTGGGGATGTGTATCTGGGGGCAGAGTGTGGCCTGCTGGGTTTAATTAAATGAAAATAGCTTGAGAAAATAATGATCTAGTGCAGAGGGATGTCACAGCACTTGAAGCTTAGCTCGCAGCTGCTGGATTTTAGCCTGCTTAGTGTCAAACTGGGTTTTCATCCATATGGGTTTCTTCCTGCAATAAAAAAATTTATTTTAGAAATCATTCTCATGTTTTTGTTCTTTCTAGCCCCCTTCACCCAAAGAATAAACAGATTCTAGAAGAAAGTCTTTATTTAATCTGTGACCTGCTGCTTTTGGAGCCAAACCTACCTCAATCCATGATAATCTGAGTCGTCTCCATGCCTGTCTCCCATGCCTGAAAGCAGGGAGAAAAGGGGGCAGCAATCTACTCCCCCTATAATGCTCTCCTTCCCTTTACGAATATTAACGTTTCATGGCTTAGAGATGCCAAAGGCCACCCTGGTACATCACGATGCCCTTGGAACATGGCAAAGATGCAGATGTGTGGTCTTGGCTAATGACCTGAATGTGGCTTTGATTCTGGGCACCCATTAACCCAGTAGAGCCTTTCTCATGGCCAGACAGACACACTGGCTTCTGTGACACAGAGGCGGCAAAATCAGGAGGCAAATATAAAAAGTAAAGTGGCTGATCCCATGCTAAGGAGTTACTCCTTAGGTTAGACCCGGCATTGAGCTAGGTCCCCTTCGTACCTTTAGGTGAGCAGGTGCAACTGGAGAAGAAAGCTTTATATTAACCTCATCGTCTCAGAATCACCTGAATGATTCCGACAAAGAAGACAATTTTTTAATTTAAATTTTTACTTATTTTTGAGAGAGAGAGAGAGAGCACAAGTGGTGGGGTAGGGGGGCAGAGAATGAGGGAGAAGGAGAGAGAATCCCAAACAGGCTCTGCACTGTCAGTGCAGAGCCCAAACTCACAAACCACGAGATCATGACTTTAGCTGAAGTTGGAAGCTTAACCAACTGAGTCACCCAAGCGCCTCAAAACTTTTTTTTAAACATTTGTTGGAATATTCCAGGGAGACAGCCTACAATTCAACCCTTTGATTTCTGGCTTCATTTGAATTTGACATGTGGGGACACCAAACCTTCAAGCCTGACAGGAAACTGAGGAACCTGGGGTTCCAGAGGGGAAACGCTCCTGTGCTTGTCTTTTCCATAGTACAAATTCAAGTAAAAAGAAGAAATGTTCTTGCCATGCCCCATTTGCAGGTCCAGCCATTCCTGTGGGTGTGGATGTGCAGGTGGAGAGCTTGGACAGCATCTCTGAGGTCGACATGGTAAGTCCTTTTTTTTCTAGGGCTGCAACAGGTGGATTCACACACACAGAGCCTGACTCACTGGGTCTCCCTACTCTCTGGCTATGAGAATGCCCACATTCAGTTTATAGGTGGCTCAGGAAGGTTAAGATACTTGCCCAAAGCTGCCCAATTGATATGAGGCAGAACCGGATGACAAAGTTGATCTGCCTCCGGTGCCTTGTCACCGGGATGTGTTCTCTGGGCAAAGGCTCAGAGAACAGTATCGTCATGGTTGTAGCTGTCCAATATCCTACAACTGTAGATCTTATATCTGGCTGTGGAAATGCAGACAAATTGCTGAAAAGTGTCCCTTTTTTTCCCTTTTAAATGAGTTTAGGTGGAAAAATGGAATGTTCTACCTCTCCTTGACTTACGAGAGCTTTTACAGCCTTATCTTAGTTTGGGTTCTCCAAAAAGCAGACTTGAGAGAAGCATTCTAGCACAAGTCGTTTACTTGAGAGGCGATCCCAGGAAAAACGAGAAGAGAGTGGGGGGAGGCGAGATGGGGGTGGGGAGGAAGCACAAAGACATGTTCCCTCAAGCCAGTTACTACTATGACTCTCAGTCCCACTGGGGGTACTCCAGGAGTCAGCAGAGAACACGTCTTACAGTTGTCCCAGCTGAAGGGCCAAGGAGCTGGGGTGCTTACCTAGCCCCACCCCAACCCCCCACTGCCCCCAACATGTTGAGGGTCACAAGCGCTGACACTAGGGCCTTGTCATGTGGAGGCGCGTGGCAGGGGATGGAGTGGGGCTCAGGGACAGAGGTTTTGCAGGTGGTCTCTTGCTGTGTCCCTCCCATGTGGTCCCCTTCCTACTGCAGCAAACCCCGGGGACTAGAAGCAAGACCTCCACTCTGCTGTTGCATTCACAGCCGGTGATGGCTCCATGGGGTGCACAGTGTCCTGCTGAGACCCAGTAGGTTCAGTGTGTGGGGCTCTCCTCTCTGCCCTTCCCCTCCAGGACTTCACGATGACCCTCTATCTGAGGCATTACTGGAAAGATGAGAGGCTGTCCTTCCCGAGCACCAACAACCTCAGCATGACGTTTGATGGCCGGCTGGTGAAGAAGATCTGGGTCCCCGACATGTTTTTCGTGCACTCCAAGCGCTCCTTCATCCACGACACCACCACGGACAATGTCATGCTGCGGGTCCAGCCAGATGGGAAAGTGCTCTACAGCCTCCGGTAAGGCCCTCTCGGCCCTCAGGCGGTGCCTCTCCTGCTAGGTCCTTGTACACCTGAACCCTGAGCAGAACGGCAAATCATTTGACCAATCACACCTGCAGTTTTGCTTTTGGGCTTTGAATAGCTAGCTGCTGCTTCTTTTTTCAGAAAATGTTTTTCCTATTTATTTTGAGAGAGAGTGCATGTGCAAGCAGGGGAGGGGCAGAGAGAGAGAGAGAGAGAGAAAGAGAGAGAGAATCTCAAGCAGGCTCCCCACTGTCAGTGCAGAGCCCAATGGAGGCTCGAACCCACAAAACGTGAGGTCATGACCTGAGCCCAAATCAAGAATCATATGCTTAGCTGATTGAGCCACCCAGGTTCCCCTCATTAATATTTCTGATACCTTGTATATAAATATCGAATTTTGATAAAAATCAATAAATGAACAGAAAAATTTGACTTTATCCACAAGAGAACAATATATGCTCCTATGATTTCTTTCAAGAAACACTATCACATGAATTTTTATTTCACACTTTTATATTAATTGAGGCCATTGCTTTGGTAATACGCTTGAATGTGATAGAATTTTGCAGAGATAGACTATTTGCCTCACCCTGACACTGGAGTTAAACATAAAAACTAGAGTATTCCAGTGACTTTATTATACAGAAACTATTTACCTAAATCGTGACACCTTGCTTATCAATTATAAGGAGGCAGTTATATGGGAAGGAAACAGAGGCCTTTTCTGTTTATCATTTTGCACTTGTATTTTGCAGCCTCTGAAAATTTGGATTTTGTCTTTTTGTTTCCAGGGTTACAGTGACTGCAATGTGCAACATGGACTTCAGCCGATTTCCCCTGGACACGCAAACATGCTCACTTGAAATTGAAAGTTGTGAGTAGACTGCTCTGGACATCAGCACACAGACCCCGAGTAATCCAAAACCCTCGTAACTCTCAAAAGAGGAATAGCATGTGCTCCTCATTCGTGTCTGCGCTTTTAAGCGATTTTTCAACTATTATTTCCATTTTTTTAAAGTTTATTTATTTAGCGCGTGTGTGTCTGTGTGTGTGTGTATGTGAGAGAGAGAGAGAGAGAGAGAGAGAGAGTATGTGATTTGGGGAATGGCAGAGAGGGAGAGAGAATCCCAAGCAGGCTCTTCACTGTCAGCTCAGAGTCGACTTGGGGCTCAATCTCACCATCTGTGAGCTCATGACCTGAGCTGAAATCGAAAGTCGGATGCTCAACTGACTGAGCCACCTAGATGCCCCTCAAGTGATTTTTTAAAATATTAAACCGAAGTCCAGAGTAATTTTGAAATAAGGAATAAATCTGAAACTAAAACCTTGTGTTCCCATTACAAACCCTGTACTATAGCAACGGTTTTAAACTTGGTTCTGTGGAACCCGAGCTGGGAGGGGAGTCGAGGGCTCAGCAAATGTGGATCTCCTTCTGTAGCTGTTTCTATACACCATCCATCCAGAGAGCTTGTTTTTGGTCTGTTTAATTGTTCCTCCGAATAAGATTTCTGTGGAAGAAAAGATTTCTTGACAAAAACAAGTTGGTAACAATTGGCAGAAGGAGCTGCCAAGGTGAGCGCATGTGATGTTTGAGACTCTCAGGCACGCCGGAGGGGCGCTGGGGCACTTGCACACACGGAAGTCCTGGACAGGTTTACAGGCAGGCCCCAGGAAGGGCAAGCCTGAGGCGGCATCAAGGACTAACCGCTTGCATCTCCAGCTCCCCACACAGCTGCTCTGTGTTTCAATCTTTGCCCAAATGCTTCCACTGGTGGGCACAGTCTGGACTCCCCCATAACTCGAGCTGGTCCACTCCAGCACATGCCCGCTGGCCCTTCCTGGCTGGTGACCACGCCCTAGTGAGGAATCTCTTTGGCCCAGGACACCTTTGTAAGCCTACCTGCACTGTGGCAATGAATCAGGGGTCCCCTGGCTCCAGTCAGCTGGGGCTGAGGAGGACAGCCTACATAGCAGGGGCCAGATAGACAGCTCCTCAGGGCACTGAATGTGGGGAAAGGGAGTAATAAATGCCAGGACCAAGGAAGTGCCTACCCGCTGCATAGTGACTTGCCACCTGCTGTCATGTAATCCTCACCAGGTCCTGTGAGAAGGTTACTGTTATCTCTGTTACAGGAGGGATGTAACTTGCATGAGGACATAGTGCTAAAAAGGACTAAACTCACTGGCTCCAGAACCTTGTTTTTCCTACTACACCCAGGCGGCTCCATCAGGAATGTAGCTTCTTCCAGGTTGCATCAGTCAGGGTACCACAGAGAAGCAGGATATCAGCGATACATAGTAAGAGATATTTAGTGTCAAGGAATTGGCTCACGCAAGCATGGGGGTCAGCAAGGCAAGTCTGACATGTGCAGGGCAGGCTGTCGAGAGGAGTAGCTGGGAACCCTCAGGTGGGACCTGATCCTGCTCTCCACGGGCAGAATTTCTTCTTCCTGGGGAAACCTCAGGTCTGATGTTAAGGCTTTTCAGTCGATTGGATCAGGCCAACCCAGATTATCCTGGATCATGTCCTTTACTTAATGTGAACTGGTGGTAGGTTTCACATCCACAAAGCATCTTCAGAGCAACATCTAGATTCGTGTTTGATTGAATAACGGCACTGTAGCCTAGCCAAGTGGGCTGGATACATGAAACCAACCATCACCCAGGTCAAGGGTAAGAAATAGAACAAAATAGAGGAATGAAAGAGGGCATCAGGGAGTTCTGGCAAGCACTGTTTAGCCCATGAGCAGACGGGACCAGCAACTGTGAGGTTTTGCCTCAGCTCGGTCTAGGCCACAGGTAGGTTTGTTCAGCTGGAATATCATGTTTGCTATTAAGTGGGAGCACCAGTTAGGAAGTGAAGCACCAGAGGGCGTGATCCGTATGCGGGAATCACTTGGATTTTACCCTAGGTAGGAGGAGCAAGAGGAAGCCTGCAGAGAAGGGACTTGTGTCCTGCTGCCATCACTATGTGGCTCCTTTCCTGCTGGGTTGCACCCCTTATTACCTGACAGTATTAAAAGATATTTGCCATCAATGAATGCATTACTACACTTTGAAAGGAGAAAAGAAAAGACTCAATTAACCTGGGTTTGTAAGGCTGAACCATATGTAGTTTTGCAGCAATTTAACCACGTCTGATCTGCAAGTAGAGCACCTTCATTCCTTTTTAAAAAAATTTTTTTAACGTTTATTTATTTTTGAGAGACAGAGAGACAGGCGTGAGCAGGGGAGGGGCAGAGAGAGAGGGAGACACAGAATCCAAAGCAGGCTCCAAGCTCTGAGCTATCAGCACAGAGCCTGACGTGGGGCTCACGAACCACAAGATCATGACCTGAGCTGAAGTCGGACGCTTAACCAACTGAGCCACCCAGGCACCCCCCAACTTCATTTTTTTAAATGTTTGTTTATTTTTGAAAGACACAGAGAGAGAGAGAGAGTAGGAGAGCCAAAGTCTGATGCTCAACCTATTGAGCCACCCAGGCGCCCCCTGCAACGTTATTTGTTTTAACCTAACAAATGGCAGGCTGAATTGTGGCGTGAGTACTTTTGCAGGAATTATGAGCATTTAGGCTTGAGAGCTTGGCTCTGATGACTTCTGGAAGACTGGGGAGAGTTAATGTGGATTTTGTTTTGCTTTGTTTAGACTGTGGCTTGTTTATTCAAACTCTCTTACTACATTCCCAGTCGTCTGGGTGGGAGATCTGGAGCTGCCTCCATGGAGCCCCACAGGCTGGCCCATCCTCCCACGCCCACCCGGCTGTGCCTGATGCTGTCTCCCGTCTTTCCAGATGCCTATACAGAGGATGACCTCATGCTGTACTGGAAAAAAGGCAACGACTCCTTGAAGACAGATGAGCGGATCTCACTCTCACAGTTCCTCATCCAAGAATTCCACACCACCGCTAAGCTGGCCTTCTACAGCAGCACAGGTGGAGGTGGGGGTGGGGCTGGGGGCCTGGTTGTCGAGTGAGCAGAGCTAGAGCACTTGGATTTGAGGCCAGAGGTGGAAATCCCTAAATCAGGATGGCAAACACTGGGGAGAGGGGGTTTTCAGATACCAGCCAAACATTGGAAGTGAACCTAGGAAATATTAGTAAGGACTCAAACGGAAGCTATAAGAGGAGGTTTGTTTGAGCCAATTACTTTGCAAGTTTAGCAGCTGGCATCTCACCCCTGATAGGATCTCCAGGGCCCCTTCCTCTATAGGCAACAAACAGTTCAGTTTTAGGTCTGTGGATTTCCATTCTCTCTGTTGTACTCAACCACTCCTCTCTCTCTCTTTTCTCCACCCACACCCCCACCCAAACAGTCCTCTCTTAACTATACTGCTTGCACAGGTCCTCCTTATGACCTTGTGAGCCTTGGTGCTCAGGTCAGGATGACCTCGCCCCCTCTAGTTGCCTGAGGGCTTGCTCTGTGGTCTTCCTCTAGGCAGCAGGCAGCAGGCAGCAGCCGAGGGGAACTGCTCTCTCCAACCCTTGCCTCTGTCTTGCTAATCATCTTTCAGGATGATATTGTTCAAATCTTTTTGAAGTTTCTATTGCCCAAAACATTGCATGACTGCACAAGGGAGTGCAACCTTTTAAGTCTTTCTAATCTGTAACAAAGGCACTGTTTTATTTCCAACACACATCTCATCGTCTGTTTACATCACTCTGGAGTCTTGATTTTTCAGGGGGTCCCCACTTCATCCATAGCATTCTAACATTTCTTCTTGTCTTAGTCTGTTCGGGCTGCTATAACAAAATACTACAGACTGGGTGTCTTCGGAACAACAGAGATTTACTTCTCAGTTTTGGAGGCTGGGAAGTTCAAGATCAAGATGCTGGCAGATTCAGTGTCTGATGAAAGCCCACTTCCTAGTTCATAGGCAGCCACCTTCTCCCTGTGTCCTCACATGGGGGAAGGCACAAGGGAGCGATCTGGGGTCTCTTTTATAAGGGCACTAATCCCACTCATGATGTAATCACCTCCAAAGACCCCCACCTCCAAATACCATCACACAGTGGATTAGGTTTTCAGCATACAAATCCGTGGGGAACACATCCAGTCTATAGCGCCTCTGCAGGCACTTTCTGGGACTGCTTTACACTGATCACTATTGCATTATAATTGCCTGGGCTGCCAAGTTTTCAAGTTAATGTCGCCAAGTCTCCGTGTATTTTCAGTCCCTGTCATCTCCAGCTTATCCTGCCTTCTCCTTTTCTTTCCATCTTTCCTCTGTTCCTTAGAACTCCTCCATTCATCTTTTTTCCTTGTAGAGAACATGAGGGCAGAGCTAATGCATAGCTGAGCCTGTGACTTATCACTGTTCTTAAATGCAATGTTATAGTTAGCTGGCTATTTTAACTTTGACACATTTTCCTCCATAAGGAAATCCAAAGGGGCTTGTTTAAATAAATGTTTCTCAAGCCTTACTGTGCATATAAATCATGTAGGGAGTATCATTAAAAGGAGATTCTGATTCACTAGTTCTGGTGTGGGGCTGAGAGTCAGCATTCCCAGCAAGTAACCAAGTGATGGTGACCTTGCTGGGCTCTGTCCCAAAGGATGAGTAATAGGTCTTAAATGGCCTTCTCAAGGGGCTCCTTTTATGTAGAAGACAGGAGCCAAGGATTTCTTGAGAGGGACTCACCGATGTGGTACAGGTTATCATGTAATCACTCTATTCCATGGGTTTTTGCTCACTTCCATTTTATGAAGGTATGGCAAGGTTACAGAGAAGTGTCTAAGGCACTTAGGCTTCCCCAGATACAATGTGTTGTGTGAAGGAGCTGAGTGGTGTGTGCTACCTTGTCTCCCTATGTCCCTCAGGCTGGTACAACCGTCTGTACATTAACTTCACGTTGCGACGCCACATCTTCTTCTTCTTGCTCCAAACTTACTTTCCTGCCACCCTGATGGTCATGCTGTCCTGGGTGTCCTTCTGGATTGACCGCAGAGCTGTGCCCGCCAGAGTCCCTTTAGGTAAGGAAAACTCAAGTGCGCATTCCAGGCATCTGAAAACACAAGTGATTTCTTCCAGATTTCTTCCATTCATTTCAAATTGATTCTAAATCCCCCTTGGCATTATAACTTGGAAAAACCAGGTTATCGATTCATAGGCAAAATGCCATTATTAAGAACGTATGTGGCAGAACTGTTTCCAGGACCCCACAAATACTCATACAAACAACCCACCTTCAGTCTTGTTAGAACCACATTCTGGGGTCAGTGGTCCCAGCGTGTGGGTGCTTTCTCTGCTCACCTGCATAAAAAATCACATTCTCTAACAGGATTTCTCAAAAGGTGGCCCAAGGGATCTTTGCGGTGGAATCTCTGGGGGAAATTGTTAAAAATGAAGAATCTTGGGCCCCTTCCACATGTAGAGCATTAGAATCTCTGAGAAAGGACCAGGAACCTACATTCTGAACAAAGTCTCCTGGTAATTCTTATACATATTCACATCTGAAAATCCCTACTCTTTAAACATTCCATGGATAGCTATTTGCTATCAACTCTCTTCCCCACTTTTAAATATTGCACCCACTCGGTCATACCCCTGCCCACTGATGACTTAGAGGCTTCAGGGGAGAGGGTGACCCCTCCCCTCAGGTTTTAGTGACACTGAATTGGAGCTGGCCCTTAAGGCTACCCCAGTCCCCTGTGATTTGGTGTTTGCCAAGCAAACGTTCTGAGCTTAGTTTGAAATCCCAGACAAACACCATTGACAAATACTCTGTCCTTTAATAGTTATTCTATCGCTTGAATAGTGACTGTGCTAAATAAATAAACAATCTAGTTTTCAAAATCTAATCCCCACTAAATGAGGTTAACATCATTCTTGGTAAAACTGACCTCTGAGTCTTCAAGTCAACATTGCTGAATAGCAGCCGGGTCCAGCACGGGGGTGGGTGCCAGAATTGCCCTGACCACTGATCATATGGGCCCAAGACTGCAAGATGAGCAACGAAGGCACAGATATGAAAATATACCTTGGGCACTTGTTTCCCTTTGTGGAGAAGTAGTTACCAGAAACACAAACACACCTGCTCATATATGTAGTCTCTGCTTTAAACAATTGAATGGAAATAAATGTCTTGCTGCCAAAATGTTTGGGGTGGGCTCTCTACAGAAGGACAAAGTGATGTGTTGGCTCTAGTGAATATGTGTGTATACGGAGTGGGGAAAGGGTGTGCAGGAGGAGTGGAGGAGTAAGAGAAGCTTCATAAAAGCTAAATCTTGAAAGATGAGTAGGTGTTTGCTAGACAGAGGGGCAGGGATGGAGATATTTTAGGCCCAACGAGCAGAAAGGACAAAGAACTGAGGCATGAAGCCACCCAGTGTGTCTGCTGAAAGACAAACACAGGCTTATTTCTCACTCTTTTTGCAGGTATCACCACCGTGCTGACCATGTCCACCATCATCACAGGAGTGAACGCCTCCATGCCCCGCGTGTCCTACATCAAGGCGGTGGACATCTACCTCTGGGTCAGCTTTGTGTTCGTGTTCCTCTCGGTGCTGGAGTACGCAGCCGTCAACTACCTGACCACGGTGCAGGAGCGGAAGGAGCGGAAGCTCCGGGAAAAGGTAACCTTACCATGAGTAAAATGTCTGCTCAGGGATAGAGCCTGGTCCAGCTCCGGACCATGAGAAGGTCAGACCTTCTCTGGAAAATGGGGTAGTGACACCCCATCCTCAATCTTCTCCACCAGTTGGTGTGATGAGCAAACAAAATAACATGTTAACACAGTGTTAAATTTACCCTGGGCTACATCTTTCAGTCATTTCAATATTTATTTAGCACCTACCATATACCAGGAGCTAAGCCAAGTTAACTAAGACACAGTCCCTTTAATCTTGGTGGTGTTCATTGTTTAGTGCTAAACATAGAGGACAATTCAACACGGTGGAAAAATTATTTGTGAACACAGAGGTGTGATTAAAAAACCTTCAGGAAAGTACATCCTCCATTCTAGGAACTTTCCTTTCATATGTGATCTTGTACATCTCCCATCATTTTCTCAATCATCTTCCCTCCTGCCTGGCTTTCCTTTCTTCCTTCTATCTGCAGCCACATGATTATCTCTTCCAGAAAACTAGAATTAAATAGGAGTGAAGTTCCTCCACAATGCTACACCTTTCTTTCTTTTTTTTCTTTTTTTAATGTTTATTTTTGAGAAAGAGACAGAGCATGAGTGGGCTAGGGGAGAGAGAGAGAGGGAGACACAGAGTCTGAAGCAGGCTCCAGGCTTCGACATGGGGTTCGAACTCACGAACTGTGAGATCGTACCTGAGCTGAAGTCGGATGCCTAACCGACTGAGCCACCCAGGTGCCCCAATGCTACACCTTTCAATCCCCATCTCAACACATCACACACTGAATGTTACCTGAAAACATTTTATCAGTGTTTTCATCCATTTATGATCTCGTGGAGAACAGGGCAATTAGCTGATCATGAACATTCTCATTGGTCTCTGATGCAACATGATGTTTCCTAAGAGCTGCTTTGCAGACTTCAAACAAAAACGGATGCCTGCTCTTATAGAATGACTACAGTGTCACCATCATTATTTTCCCACGCGCCCTGCCCCTAACTGGAATAAAGAGAAACTAGAAAAGGCAACCCCGTCCACTATTGCAGTTTCTTGTGAAGGACTCTGAGAGATGAAGCTGAGCTGACATCCCAGCGTGTGCTTGCTGTGTTTGCAGCTTCCCTGCACCTGTGGAATACCCCAGCCACGCGGGGTCCTGCTAGATGGCAGCTACAGCGATGGGGAAGTTAATGACCTGGGCAACTACACACCGGAGAATGGAGAGAAGCCAGACAAGATGATGGTGCAGCTGACCTTGGCCTCAGAGAGGAGCTCCCCCCAGAGGAAAAGTCAGAGAAGCAGCTATGTGAGCATGAGGATTGACACCCACGCCATTGATAAATACTCCAGGATAATTTTTCCAGCGGCGTATATTTTATTCAATTTAATATACTGGTCTATTTTCTCATAAGGGCCTGTAACTCTGTACATTTCACATTCTTCTGTATATACCACAGAAATACCTGTATGATGAGAGTAATTTAAGGTTATGATGAAATTCTAAGTCCCCACTACCGACCCTTCTCCAGCTTTCCAAAACGACATTGACAAGACACTTACTGGCTTAATTTGCACTTTATAACCGTCTATTGTGTCCACCGCATTATACTCGGTGTTGCAGAAATAGGACACCTGTAGCAACCGGTGATAGTTTTTACCGGGATCCCCTGGAAAAACACACTGCCAGTGTCGTGGGCATGCTGTAGTCTAAACTCTTTTAGACCCTAGGTGCTTATTCAATGAATGATGCCCTTTATGTGCACATCACTATATTCTCTGGACTAGGTGGAATCGGGAAGTACCTAAAGTTCACCTGCATGGAACATACCTGCACCCAAATTCCCACTTTGGCCAAAATTGATGCTTTACTCTGTAGCCCATTACCTATTTTTCACTGTATCTCCTCATGCAAGGCACTAATAGTATTTCTATTTTCGTTTATGTCTCATGGTTCACAAGGTTTCACCTCTCTGAAGCAAAGCTCTTTAGATTGGTACAATGGCTCTTGATTTGGGGGAGAATTTCTCTGGTAGGGAAATTTTAAAGAAGAGGGTCTATGTATGCATTTTGTCAGTTCTGCCAGAGAGATAGCTAGTCTAGAAAAACTTGTGTTTAAGTGTGTCCTGTACCTTCACCTTGGAGCTTGTCCTTGCTCAAGGTGAAGTCCTTTCTCAGTAGTGTGGTATCTTCACCGAGGAACTTAGGAATAGACAGATTTTTTCCTGCATGAACATTTCAAGAAAATGCATAATTTGAGACTACCTGTAACTCATCAGGCTAAGAAATGCCCACATAGATTCTGAAGAAAACAAGAACACCAGAAAGAAAAAGAAACGGGAAGACATTACTGGACATCTCTATTGGACTTCAGTGAATACCAGCATCTTCTATGAACCAGAAAACAATGGCCACCTCTTGCCAGAGCATGGGATAAAAGAGAGGGTTCTAATTTGATGTGTTATTTAAGCAAGTAAGTTACTCATATTAGATACCTGTAGGATCAACACCCACCAAACTTATCTGAACATTTGTGTAAAATTCACTTGAATAAAGTGAATTCTATACACAACGATGTCAATTTCTTTCCGAAGTTAATTGGACAGAGCATCCATACTAAATATTTCTTCATATTAGAGCTATACTTCATTCTAATCTGAAAATAAGACTGTATTTGCACAAATTCTAATTACAAGGTAATCTTCCATTTCCCCCAATGAAAGCTCATGAAAACAAAGTTTTTTTTGGCAAACTCAAGATACTTAAAGGGATGTAGATGAAATAAACATTAGGTTTTAGTATTTAAAAAAAAAATTGGGGGTGGGCACCAGGGTGGCTCAGTCAGTTATGTGTCTGACTCTTGATTTCAGCTCAGGTCATGATCTCACGGTGGTGAGATTCAGCCCTGCATCGGGCTCTGTGGTACACATGGAACCTGCTTGGGATTCTCTCTCTCTCTCTCTCTCTCTCTCTCTCTCTGCCTGCTCCTGCTCCCCTTTTTGTGCTCTGTCTCTCTCAAAATAAATAAATAAACATTTAAAAAACTTAAACATTGTTTTATTCATGTGTGTTTTCTGAAACTTCAATCAAACTCTTCACAAACATCTTGTCACTCCCTTCTTCCTCAGGACCAGGGGCCACTCTGAGTCATCTAGCAACGTTTCCAAGGCACATGATCTGAATTTCCACCTACTTTGCTTGGGAAACTCATGTACGATGCTGTTTTAGCTGCTCAGACCACCACAACAGGTGGCTTAAACAACAGAAATTCATTTTCTTTTAGTTCTGGAGGCTGGAAGTACAAGATCAAAGTGTTGGCAGGTTTGGTTTTTCCTGACGTCTCCTTCTTCAGCTTGTAGATGGCGCCTTCTTGCTGTTCCTAGCCTGGGCTTTTTCTCTGAGTTCATGCACCCTGGTGCCCTGGTGTCTCTTCTTTTTTTCCCTTCTTTTCCCTTCCTGCCTCCCCTTCTCTTCCTTTCCCTTCTTTCTTTCTCTTTAATTTTAGTGAGAGAAAACATGAGATGGGGAGGGGGACAGAGAGAAAGAAAGAGAATGCCAAGCAGGCTCCATACTCAGCGAGGAGTCCAATGCAGGGCTCAGTCCCTCTACTCAAGGGTCCTGAGCGAGGCAAAATCAAGAGTCAGATGCTCAACCAAGTGAACCACCCAGAAGCTCCCTTAACTGACATTTCTAAGAGTTGCAGTAACACTGAGGAAAACCCACTGGAGCAAGAAAACAGGTTTGGGCAACAAATACAGATATAATCTTAATTTTTTTGTTGCTGCAACAGAGAATCTAGATGAATATAATTCTAAAACAAGGTCCCTAAAAATTATGGATTCCAAGGAAACGGAAATTTTTGTAGGCTGAGTAGTCAATGGAATTATTTGATGAGGATTAAATAAAGAGGCGTGGAAGTTGTTTTAGGAAATTTACTGGCCACAACAGGAAGATTTCTTTTACACAAAGGTCAAGTTTTAAATCTCATTCTGGCATGTTTTAACAGGATTCCACTTGTAATTTTCCAGTAGGTTTCTTTCTCTTAGAGCTTCTATTGGAAAGCAATCAACTTCAGTATTGCCCAATTTAATGATATGCCTAGAAAAATAGTTCAAGCATGATGAGACAAGAGAAAACGATCTCTGAAAATTTCTCAGTCTCCACCCAAAATCAGCACCGTTTTCTTATGTTGTACATCTGCACGCAACTATTCTTATTTGAAAATCAAGTTTAGAGTTCTGGTTTCTCCCCAAAATACCATGACTACAACTTAATATGAACCTGGCTGCATAGTTACTGGCTTTGCCACTTCAGATAGTTAACAATCTTTGCAAAATTGTCTTTAGTTATGAAATACGGCAATAATTATATTCAAACTATGTCCAGTGCATTTACCTAAAAACTGAAGATTTAAGCTGAGAAGAAAAGCTAGTAGAAACAAGGTAAAAGGGGCGAGCCAGATGCCCAAGGCTGGATACTCCCCTTGCATACTTTTGGCTTCTGTCACCTTATTTGCCTCCTGTGTCCACCAGCTGCCTGGATGGCACCACTGATAAAGTCCCCTCCCGTTTTTCTTTTGTCTCTCAACCCCCTACCATCCCAGCCATAAAAGGAGGTCGACGCCAAGGTTCAGGGCTCAACCTTTGGAGGGAACGCTGCTGGGCCAGCACCAGTACGCAATCAACAGTCTTTTCTGATTCCCCGAGTGCATGTAGCTTGTCTCTTTCTGGGCACCGAGTACTTGCTGTTACGAAGGTACAGCTTTACAACTATTTTGAAATTTTGTAATACTGTCCTGTAATACAATTTAATTACCATGACATTCATGTGAAATGTTGGGGTTCAGAAGCGACTGGTCATGAAAGAATTCTTGAGACTGGTGCAAAAAATGTGGTTTTTATTACAGCATGGGGACAGGACCTTTGGGCAGAAGGAGTTGCACTGGGGTTGTGAGGAGCGACTGATTATATACTTTGAAGTTGGGAGGGGCTTAGGGATAGGGTAAGTCTCTAACGAATTTGGAAGCAAGGTTTCCAGGACCTTGCAGTCTGTCTAGTAAAACCTTAGTCATGAGACCCTTCGGACGTGTATCAGTGGGCCATATATTTGGAGGATGATTGCTAACATATTATATTGTAGGGAGGGCTAGAGATAAAGTAAATTTGCAAAGGGAGTTTTGTATGTTAAAGAAGACTTACAGGATCCTGGAGGTCCGGCTAACATCAAGCTAAGGTTGCTTTTTGCATCAAGGGAATTGAGCTTCTGGAGGAAGATCATGCTGCCTATCTCAAGTACTTGCCAATGGGCTGTAAGTTGTAAGGAAGTTGTGGTTGGTTTGTTTTTTTTTCCTTTTTGCCTTTGTCCTCCATATCAGCATTCCTCAAGCTGGACTTCTACTTTGGGGTATTCACTGCATCTGGTTTGGTTTTTTTTGTTTTTTTTTAATTTTTTAATGTTTTATTTATTTCTAGGAAAGAGAGAGAGAGACAGCGTGAGGAGGGGAGGGTCAGAGAGAGAGGGAGTCACAGACTGAAACAGGCTCCAGGCTCTGAGCTGGCAGTCAGCACAGAGCCTGACGCGGGGCTTGAACCCACGAATCGCGAGATCATGACCTAAGCGAAAGTCGAACGCTTAACCGACTAAGCCACCCAGGCGCCCCTGGTTTGTTCTTTTTTTTTTAATGTTTATTTATTTTTGAGAGAGCAAGCGAGCTGGGGCGGGGAGGGGGGGGGAGCAGAAGGGGGGAGAGAGAAGAGAGAGGGAGACATAGAATCAGAAGAAGCCTCCAGACTCTGAGCTGTCAGCACAGAGCCCGACGGCAGGAGGGGCCTTAAACCCACCAATTGCAAGATCATGACCTGAGCTAAAGTTGGAGCCAACTAGCCACCCAGGTGTCCCACTGCATCTATTCTTAATTAGGATAAAAATACAATTTGATTCTCGCAACTCAAATATCTCCAGAGCAGTGTTAGCATCACCCAGGAACATGTTAGGAAAGAAAGAATCTCAGTGCCCGCCTTCTGCCTACTCAGTTAGAACCTGTATTTTAACAAGATCCCTTAGGTGATTCTAGTGGGCCAACCCAGTAGCCCAGACGGTGAAAGAATTCACCCGAGGCAAAACAAGAGTTAGAAGTTTACTGAAACCATTGCAAGGGAGCAGCAGGCTGGACAGCGAAGGAGAGACTGTCTGCTGGGAGGCAGTGGTGAGGGGCAGTTACAGGGTAGAGTAAGGGGACATATGGAATGTTCCCTTTTTTGGCAATATTGGAAACTGCTTCACTGTAAGTAACCCATTAGTCAGGGCCAAGGGCCAATGGCTATTTCAAGGTGGGTCACTTAATGAGCCTCTTTGTATTCAGCTCTGTGTTCACTGTAGGCCCTTTTACCTTGCTCAGGTTTCCATTGCTCAAGC